ATCCACATTTTACTACTCATTACGTAAAATGTCAATATTACTTTAGTAGTCTTGTTCTATCGTATCTTTGTTGTAAGGAGATGTTACTTTTTTGAAGTAGTGAAACCTGAAAAAATAGGCAAGGATATATGAAGTATGTTTTGTAGCCTGGCCTGTATGGCTCAGTGGATTGAGCATGGTCCCATGGACTAAGAGGTCCCGGTTTGATTCTGGTCAGGGCACATGCCCAGATTGCAGGTTCGATCCCCAGTAGTGGGTGTGCAGGAGGCAGCTGATTGATATTTCTATCTCTCGCTCTAAAAAAATCAATAAAAAACATTTTTTAAAAGTATGTTTTATAGTGAAGACACACTTACTAAAGCTTTGTAGTGTGTTTATATTTTATTTCAAGATCTTTAAAAAATCGTTTGTACTTCTTTGTTTAAGATTCTTTGATATAAAGTAGGAAATGGAGAGGGTAGATGTATTTAGATTTAAATTTCAAATTGGTTTTGAATATTTTTAAAATAATAAAATTTTTATTGTAAATTATGAGGCAATTTAAATGGCAATTCAGATTAATTTCTGTTTAGAAATGGATGACATATAGGTAGATATGCTACTTCTGAAGTACCTTATATTTTTAACTTGTTAGAGATAGATTCTTATTTTCATTTCCAGTCTTATATATTTAAATCCAATGAAAAACTTTACCAAGCCAGTACAACAATTAAAATGTCGAAATGCTACTCTTAGAAATTTAGTGCTATTGTCAAAAATAGTAAGAAACTAGAGCCATTTTAGATAAAGAACCTAGCTCAGTGTTTGTTCCAGGACATTTTTTGTAAACTATATGATTGTTGTAACTAGAATTATCTTTTTGTGGATTCTGTTTTATTGAAACAAGCTTACCATTTTTTCTTTATCAACTTTGTTGAGATACAATTCAACATTAAAATGTATCTTAATTGGACAGTTGTGTTTTGGCAATTGTAACTTACACCTCCCCACTCCAATTTTTGTGTACCTCTTTGTAGTCAGTGCTCCTATTGCAACCTGGCCAGCTTTCTTTTGTCATAGAATAATTTTTCCTTTTTTCTTTAAATCAATTTTCTTGAGGTATAATTTATATACAGTAAATAAAGTACATGCTTTCCCCTTTCATTAATAGTTTTCCTGGTACCAAAATACTTACTTTGTTTCATCACTAATACATTGCTTTGCTTTGAGATGTGGAGTGATATATAGTGATGTAAGTCTTGGAGAAGAGGTGTGATTGCATATAGTCTTTTTTTTTTTTTCTTTACTGATTTTAGAGAGAGGGAAAAGGAGAGGGAGAGAGATAGAAACATCGATGAAACAGAACATTGATTGTCTGCCTCCTGTATGTCTCCCACAGGGATTTGGCCCACAACCTGGGCATGTGCCCTGACTGGGAATTGAACCAGAGACCTGTTGGTGCACAGGTCAACGCTCAACCACTGAGCCACACCTGTCGGGCGATTCCATATAGTCTTAAGTTCACATGTAATTTGTTAGTAAATTCAGAGTCAATATATTACAGTACTTTTATAGATAGTGTTTTATAAACAAGCATAAAAGTATGACAGTTTCACTTTGGTGTTTGGTGACTTGTATATGCTGGAAATTTGAATTTTAAGAGGCTGCTGTTTTCACGTGGATAAATTTCTAGTGTCTTCACCTGATGATATATATTTTTTTAAATATGTTTTTATTGGTTTCTTTTCTTTTTTTTTTATTTATTCTCACCCGAGGACATTTTTGCATTTATCTTCAGATAGAGCAGGAGGGAGAGAGGGGGTAAGAGAGAGAGAGAGAGAGAGAGAGAGAGAAACATCGATGTGAGAGAGATACATCTAATGGTTGCCACTCACATAACCTCAACCGGGGTGGGGACAAACTGCAACCTATGTACATGCCCTTAGCGGGAACCAAACCCAGGACTCTCTGGTCTGCAGGCCGATGCTCTAACTACTGAGCCAAACAGGCCAGGGCTGGTTTCCTTTCTTCTGTAAGAGAGAGAGAGGCAGGGAGAAAGAGATAGAAACATCCATGTGAGAGAAAAACATCAATCAGCTGCCTCCTACACCACCCCCTCCCCCCACTGGGGATCAAACAAGGACTTCTCCGTCCATTGGACAATGCTCAATCCATTGAGCCACACCAGCTGGGCAATATTCTTTTTTTTAAAGAATTGTTTTACTATTTTGGTTATGGATTCTTTCTCCTAACTCCCTCCTCCTCCTCCTTCCTAGAATATTAAACTTAAATTAATGAAGTGATACTGAACTGGAAAAATGTTTTAAACTAAAGTTAATATTATTTATATAAAATAATATAATTTTATTTATTGACTAAATCATTATAAAATCTTAATATTCTTGTAACTAGAAGAACATTGTCCAATTAGAATAATGTCAGGGGTAAACCAATAGCTATATAGGAAATGTAGTGGATTTTTAGGAACTAGAGCATTTTAGTAAAATGTCAATGGAAATATTTTCTATAATATATTGTACTTAATTTTAGTGATTTCTAATATTAATCTTGAAAATCAAGTAACCTAAAACTACTACTATTTTAATTGGATGATTGAGTTTTTTACTAGGGGTATACCAAAAATGATTAGATGTTATTTTACCTCTTAAGTTTAGAGACTAAGGCTAAAATCATGCACAGTACTCTAAAAAAATAGCAGTAGATAGTAATCAGAGATCTAAAATACATACTTGAACAGGTTTCAGGTATAGTAAAACTTGAATATAACAGACTAATTCGGGCAAGGTAGTGCCCCTAAAAGTTGAAAGTCCATTATATAATAAAGTAGGTTTTCCAAAGGTGTATGTTAAAAAAATTGACATAATTAGTTTACCTGTTTTTACTTATATAGCTTGTGTAATTAAAATTATGTATGAAAAGTTTGATTTTACAGAAAAGTTTGATTTTAAATTACTGTGATTTTAAATTTATATTAAATAGGACTATTAAATGCATGCATTTCCCGGTCACCGAGAATAAACAAATGCACAGGGCTGGGGTGTGGCTTAGCGCACATGGGAACATTGGCAGGCCTGCATTAAAACTGCTGCAGAAGCCTGGCCAGTGTGGCTCAGTGAATTGAGCATCATCCCATGGACTGAGAGGTCCTGGTTTGATTCCTGGTCAGGGCACATGCCCAGGTTGTGGGCCAAATACCCAGTGGGGGGCATGTAGGAGGCATCCAATTGATGTTCTGTCTCGCTGATGTTTCTGTCTCTCTCTTTCTCTCCCTGTCTCTCTTTCTAAAATCAATAAAGAAAAATAAAATAAAACTGTTGCAGAAAGTTACCCCATGTGACAACAGAACCAGTAACCTGAAGTGATTCAGTGTGATCACTTGCTAATCATTTCCTGATGGGTGACTCTTGAATTTATATATGTAGACTATAGTTGTAGATAGGTAATATTTATGTCAGCAAAATCACTGTAGTGTTTTTTTCCAACATATGACCTATTCACTAAAATATGTTAAAAAACAATGAATTATAACAAAAAAAAATAACCTGTTAATTATAAGCAAATCTTGGTTAAAGGCATTTTAAAATTAACAGAAATTTTGTCCATTAAATCATGTTCCACAAAATCAAGGAGTTACATACTTGGAAGTTTTTTTTGTTTTTGTTTTTTGGGGTTTTTTTTATCCTTACCCGAGTACATTTTTCATTTATCTTTCAGATAGAGCAGGAGGGAGAGAGGGAGGAAGAGAGAGATAGAAACATTGATGTGAGAGAGACATATAGAGTGGTTGCCACCCACATGACCCCAACCAGGGCTGGGGACAAACTGCAACCAAGGTATGTGCCCTTATTGGGAACTGAACCCGGGACACCCTGGTCGGCGGACCGATACTCTTAACTGCTGAGCCAAACTGGCCAGGGTGGAAGTTATGGTGGTTTTTTTTTACATGTTTAATTCCTTTGTGTATTTCTTGGTACTGCATTTGTCTTATCAAATTGATGCTCTGAAGAGCCAATCAAAATTAGATAAAAGTATTATTACAGTGCTAAGTCTAAGTACCCCAATATCCCGGAGTTCAGTTATTTTTCATTGCATGATTACTTAACACAGTGGTAAAGTTGAGATTTTTGTGTGACATGAACTGTCAAGGTGGTAACAAAAATGAACAAGAGTCCTGGCCAGTTTGCTCAGTGGTTAGAGCATCGCCCTGCGGTCCAGAGAGACCCGGGTTCGGTTCCCGCTAAGGGTGCGTACCTTGGTTGCAGTTTGTCCCCAGCCCAGGTTGATTGTGCGGGTGGCAGCCACTCGATGTGTCCCTTTCACGTCGATGTTTCTCTCTCTCTTCCTCTCTCTCCCTCCCACTCTACCTGAACAAAAAATGGAAAAATGTCCTCGGGTGAGGATAAAAAAAAAAAAATGAAAAAGATACAGTCTTCTTTCAGAAGAACCAAATTCAGTAGTAATTTTAAAATCTAATCAAGTGATAAATGCCATATTTGTGATATTTTAAGAACAATTGAGAATACATAAACAGACTGCATGGTGTAATAAAAGAGGGTTCATTGAGACAGTGATTAAGTGATAGTACTGGAAATAGTATTATAAATATATAGTACTGAAAGTTTTCCTCTTACTACTTTTGAAAAAGTTTGCTGTTTATTTCTTTGTTATAAGAATAGAATTAAAAGTGGTTCAAGATATCTTAGCCCATCTCCTGCAATTATTACTATTTTGCCTTTGTTTTATCCAATTTTTATAACAACCTTATTAATTTATAGAATTCTTGTTTTCTCTTAAGTATTTTTCCAGTTCTGTTGAGATACAATTAACATATAACCTTGTATTAGTTTAAGATGTACAACATAATGATTATACATATACACAAACGCAATGTATTTAAATTACAATAAGTTAACACCTGTAATTTCACCTAGTTACAGTATTTTTCTTGTTTTAAGTATTTCTTATCCAATTTTTTTCACATAATTTACTTTCTTTTTTAGACTGAATCTGGTTATGGATCTGAATCCAGCTTGCGTCGACATGGCTCAATGGTGTCACTGGTGTCTGGAGCAAGTGGCTATTCTGCAACATCCACCTCTTCATTCAAGGTTTGTGGCTGTGAATGCTTTACATTAAGGCCTCATAAATAGAATTTAGTACTGAATATTGTGAACAAAATGTATTTGATAGTTTTTCAAAAGAACTTTTTACAATGTAATTTATTTTAAGTTGTTACAGAATAGTTTTTAAGTGTTAAAATTTAATATAAAATGAACACATTACAGATTTTATTTTATTTACTAATAGATAAGATGTAAAGAAAAAATTTTTTTCAGAGGAGAATCTGAAGAATGCCAAAATGATTTTTGCTAAAAGAGTTATGAAATAGGCCAAATGTAATGAAATCAAAGACTTCTATATGATTAGACAACAAGCTAAGGATCCTATGAATACTAAAGGTTCTGTAGATGAAACTCACCATTTCTTTTAAAGGATACCCAGTAATATTTTTGCCCATTTCAAACCCTTTCACAGTTTTTTCTCACAATATCAATAATTTGAAAATATTAAATTTTAAAAGTGTCAGGCTTATTTGCTGTCTTATTTCCTTCAGGCTTATCACTATCTAGCCACTGTTAGTCAGTTCCAAGTTAATTACCAGGAGTATTACATTGAGCTTGATGGCTCTCCCTATCTGATGGCTCTCATTAGTTAGATGTAGACCTTAAAAAGTATTGAAATACTATAGAACTAAATACATTACAGTTTTGTTAATGGATTATACTCCCCCACCCCTTGTGTTTTGCAGAAAGGCCACAGTTTACGTGAGAAATTGGCTGAAATGGAAACCTTTAGAGATATCCTATGTAGACAAGTTGATACTCTACAGAAGTTCTTTGATGCCTGTGCTGATGCTGTCTCCAAGGATGAACTTCAAAGGGATAAAGGTTAATTAGGCTATTACCACTATTTTTACTTGGAGAATGAATGGATTTAAAGCCTCTTGATCTTAAAGGGTAATGTCTTTAACTGATAAAGGTAATTATAGTCACTTTTGCTGCAAACCCCCAATATAACAGATTTCAGTGTCTAACTTGTATACTTTAATAAACATATTTAACTAATCTGATCACTCATACCAGATTCCACTGAAGATTTCTAAGCTCTTTATTCTATTTAAAAATATAATAACTGTCATTTTGGTAATAGGGAACATTTTACATGATTATGTCTAATAAATTTATTCCATGATCAGTCTAAGAGACAGGCGTATGTTTATGTTAAATCCTTCAGTCTGGGATTAATTGATCTCTTTTTCCTTCTCTTATTTTTCTCTTTTTCTCCCTTTCTTTCTCTTTTCATCTTTCTGTTCCTTCCTCTGGTCCTTTTTTAATGGAAGAGGAAATCAATAATGGAGCTATATATACATTTAAAAATACTTTGTAGTGAGTTTTTTTAAAGAGAGATATGACCTTCAGTTAACTTATAATGTGAGTTTTGAACTTTTCCTTTGTTACTGTTGAAGATGTTACTGATGTGGTCAATATCTTTTCTTCAGTTTTTCTTATTTGCTGTGAAGGCATAAATGAGCTACTCACAGAATTATTACTAAATAGCACTTAGTATGATAACTAAGTTGCTTGACATAGTTTTATTTCTTGGTCTTATTAAATGTGTTTGATCTGAGTTCAAATTGTTTTTGTCTTCTCTGTTCTTTGTTTCCTTTTTCTATGGGCTTTGGGATTGAGTATATTTTTATAATTGCATTTTTTATCTCCTTTTTTTGCTTTTTGGTTATAATTATTTTAGTAGCTACTTTAGTTTATAGCATGCACATTTAATTTATCACAGTCTATCTTCAAGTAATATACCACAAGTATACTTTTCCCTGCCCCATTTTGGATACTTTTTCCTGTAATCATTTCAGTTGGTTCTTTCTCTGACCTCTATAGTTCACTTATTTATATGTGCTATCAGCACTTCACTGAATACTCAAGGGGATCTTCTGTCAATCTCCTGGATTCTCTCTCTATATAGCTTTCTTCTCTCTGGTACTCTGCCCTGTGAACTCTAGTATCCTTTGTCTCTCTGGACTCTCTGCTTCATTTCCTCACCTCAGAGAGTCTACTAGGCTTCCCCTGGGTTCCTCCTGGCTCTATAGCTTGGAATCTCTCCCAAGGGAGTAAGTTGGATAATCATAGAATTCACATCATTTGTTCCTTGCCACCCAGGGATCACTGTCCTTTTTTGCCTAATGTACACTATCTTGAAAACCATTATTTCATATATTTTGTCCAGGTTTTAGTTTCATGCTAGAGGATAAATTCAGTTCCTTTACTCTATCTTGGCTAGAAGCAGAAGCCCATATTCTTCTTAAAATTTAGAAAAAATAAGTAGTCTGGAAGTTTTTAATATTTGATACACTAAGTTTTTGGTTCTTTAACATTTCATGTTTATTTTTCTAACAATGAAGGTAGTTGAACTATTTCTCCTTCATTAAAAAAATACATGTATATATAATAGTTCATCAGAATTCATGGGGGATTGGTTCCAAGACTCCCAGATGATACCATAATCAGCAGATGCCCAAGTCCCTCATATAAAATGGAGTAATATTTGCATGTAACCTACACACATCCTCCTATATACTTTAAATCATCTGTAGATTACTTATAATACCTAATCCAATGTAAATGCTATATAAATAATTATTATAATGTATTGTTCAGGGAGTAATGACAAGAGGAAAAAAAGTATGCCTGTGTTTAGTACAGACACAACCATTGTAGGCCTAGCTACAAAGTACATGTCAACAACAATGTAACTTTTTCAAATAGTTTCCATCCACAGTTAGTTGAATCCACAGATACAGAGAGCCGACTATATTTATATATAACCTTTTTATCAAATTAAACATTACTTGAAATACCCCTTTAAACTGAATCACTATGTATCAGAATTGTATTCCTAATTTATTTTTAAATGATCCACGTCAAAATATATAGCATTTGAAATACAAAAGTGATAGTGGGAGGAATAGAAGTTGGGATACATTTATAGCCAGGCTGTATAGAAGATTTGAAAAATGATTTTAAACATTCATTTTGAATAAATAATAACAGTGGTAGACAAATGCATTAGTTTGCTAGGGCTGCTATCATGAAGTACCACAGACTGGGTGGCTTAAACAACAGAAATTAATTTTCTCACAGTTCTGGAGGCTGGAAGTCTAAGATCAAGTTGTTGGCAGGGTTGTCCCTCTGAGGGTCATGATTGAAGGATCTGTTCAAGGTTTCTCGCCTTGGTTTGTAGATGTTTGTCTTTTCCTTTTATCTTTACATCATCTTTCTTCTGTGTCTTTGTCCAAATTTCTTCCTCTAATAAGGACACCAGTCATATTGGATTAGGGCCCGCCCTAATGACTTCATTTTAACTTGATTACATCCACAAAGTCACTGCCTTGAAATGTAGTCACATTCTGAGATATAGGGGAGTTAGGACCTTGATATATGAATTGGGGGGGGGGTACACAATTCTGTTTATAACAATTTTTTTCTATAAATGTTCTTTTTAGAAATATTGACAGTTTTAAGAATATATACTGGATAAAAATGAAATAAGGACATAGACCTTACTTTTCTACTTTGACTGTAGATCTAGGGATCTCTCTGTAGGTACACTTTCACTAAATTATCAAAACTAAGTGTGAATTTTAAGAATTGCTGTTCTCCCCCTAGCTGGTGTGGCTCAATGGCTGAGCATTGACCCATGCATCAAGAGGTCACTTTGATTCCCAGTCAGGGTACATGCCCAGGTTGTGGGCCTGATCCCCACTGAGGGGCATGAAGGAGGCAGCCCATTGATGTTCTCTCTCATCTCTCTCTCTCTCTCTCTCTCTCTCTCTCTCTCTCTCTCTCTTTTCCCCCCTCCTCCCTCCCTCCCTCTCCCTCCCCCTTCCTCTCTCTCTAAAATCAAGAAGAAAAATTTTTTAAAAGAAAAAAGAATTGCAGTTCTTCAGTAAGTATGTCATTGAAGTGATAATAGCAAAAACTTTTTATTTTAGGTGATCATTAGTTTTTTCATATAAAATGTTTTATCAGAAATGCTAAGAGGGTCTTAACCTGACCCTCTACCACTCACACATACTTTAGTAAAATTTAATTAACCCTTCAGTAAGACTTAGATACTCTGGGGTTACAGAAGTTGAAGACATTATCTTTAACCTTAACATACTGCTTGATTTTAAAACAAGACACATGTACCACATTAAAGGAAAGACTCTTCTATTCATTGAGGAAACGTTTTCCATATCTGAAGGTTGAAAATCCCTGTTTGGTGGTACTAGGCTGTCGGTTGGTTAGGATTAGTGAACTTTCAGTAATCCAAAGCAGATACTAATGAGATGAGTAAAGTGCAGACTTAAAATGTTTAAGAGCAGTTAATCAGAGTAGTATTGAGTCAAGGTCAGGATCTTATTCTGATGATGAGTACTGATTTAAAAACAGCAGTATGCTGTGTTAATGAATTTCTAGAATTGACCATATTTGCAAATTATTGATAAGATAATGAAGATTCACAGAATTTGGGAATATAATTAATTTGGGGACTTCGGTGTCCGCAGAGGCTTCAATATGGATATTGGAGTCTATAGGAATGATGGACTTGGAAAAAACAGTCACATTGGTATCAGCTGGGTAGAAATGAAAAATAGGTGTTAGAAAGTTGGAGGGATCACATTACCAGATTTCAGGTTATTCTACAAAGTCACTGTAATCAAAACAACCTGGTACTGGCACAAGAACAGGCATATAGACCAGTAGAACAGAACAGAGAACCCAGAAATGGACCCAAGGCAATATGCTCAATTAATAGTTGACAAAGGTGGCAAGAGCATACAGTGGAGTAAGGACAGCCTCTTTAATAAATGGTGTTGGGAAAATTGGACAGCTACATGCAGAAAAATGAAACTTGACCATCAACTTACACCCTACACAAGAATAAACTTAAAATGGATAAAAGACTTAAATGTGACTCATGAATCCATAAAAATCCTAGAAGAAACTGTAGGCAACAAAAATTCAGACATCATACGCAGCAGAATCTTCACTGATACATCACCTAAGGCAATAGAAACAAAGGAGAAAATGAACACATGGGACTACATCAAACAGAAAGGCTACCCACTGTATGGGAGAGCATAATTGCCAATGATATATCAGGTAAGGGGTTAATTTCCAATATATATAGAGTGCTCATACAACTCAACAAAAGGAAGACAAAGAACCCAATTAAAAAATGGGCAGAGGAACTAAATAGCCACCTCTCCAAACAGGACATACAAATGGCCAAGAGACATATGAAGAAATGCTCAACATCACTAATCATCAGAGAGATGCAAATTAAAATAACAATGAGGTATCACCTCACACCTGTCAGAATGGCCGCCATCAACAAATCATCAAACAAGTGTTGGCGAGGGTGTGGAGAAAAGGGTACTCTAGTACACTGCTGGTGGAAATGCAGACTGGTGCAGCCACTATGGGAAACAATATGGTGTTACCTCAAAAACTTAAAAATTGAACTTCCATTTGACCCAGTGATCCCACTTTGAGGAATATACCCTAAGAAGCCTGAAACACCAATCAGAAAGAATATATGTACCCCCGTGTTTGTAGCAGCACTATTTACAATAGCTAAGATCTGGAAACAGCCTAAGTGTCCATCAGTAGACGAATGGTACATATGCACAATGGAGTACTGTGAAGCTGTAAGAAAGAAAGATCTCTTATCCTTTGAGACGACATGGAGGGACCTGGAAAGTATTATCCTAAGTGAAACAAGCCAAACAGAGAAAGACAAGTGTCATATGATCTCACTTATTTGTGGAATATAATGAACATAATAGTCTGAGGAATGGGGTAGTCCCAGAGACGTGGAAGTGGGGTACAGACTGACAATCCCCAGAAGAGGAGGTGGTGGGGGAGAGATAAACCACAGAACTTATATGCATGTATGCAGGAACAATGGACATGGACAACAAAGCTGGGGACAAGGTGAGGAGGGAGGGGGAATCAGTGGAGGGAAAAGGAGAAACATCTGTAACAAAAATTAATAAAATAAAAAAAAGAAAAATAGGTGTTAGTAGATAATAGCAGCTTATGGTTTAAAAAAGTTGTTAGAGATGAGTAGCAAAATTTTCAAGTGATAAAAAATGAAATAGCTCAGTGGCTAGAAATGGCAATACAAAATAAAGGTATTTTCCATGATGATTTCTACCATTTATTCAAGGGAGGGAACAAGGAATAGAAGTGAGCTTTGCGTCTATTGGAGCGACAGCTGAATGGATGACATATTCTTTGTAAAGCCAAATTAACCCTGAGGTAAAGAAATAAAGTCAAGAAATATGGTTTAGAATGAAGATTCTTTCTGTAGAAAGAGTTTCTCAAAAGATAATAAAATAAAGAAGCCATACAAGCACTTAATAGAAAGCAGAGAAGAAGGTTGGGGGCTGAGGTTTAGAAATTTGCATTACAGTAGAATATATAATGCAGAAGATTAAAGTATGTCAGGCAGTAGAAAAAAGAGTACACAGAGCAAAGAGATGCAGAGAACATGGGATTTTATTCTTTCTAGAATTGGGTAAGGTAAAAGGATATCCAGGCACAGACACGCTGGGATTAATGAACATAGATAATCACATCTGTAAGTCATTATATTTTCCCTGCATATTCAGAAATGGCAAATTTAGGAACTCCCAGAGGCAAGCTAAGGTATCTTCTGCATGGAAGTTATCCTCTTACACTCCTGCACAATGCCCTTATAGGCCTTTGATGGAATTATGAAATTGCCCAAAGGTAAGTGGGAAGGAGTAGAAAGACTAAAGGGCAAAATAACTCATATTTTAATACCATCCTTTGCACAAATAAGAATGGGTACAGTTTTTATAATAATGTATTAAAGACACTCTGTAGCATATTTAATGGGCATACCTTGATAAGCACTGAAAATACAAAGATGAATAAGATCTTGTACTCAAAAGAATCCAGAATGTATTGACTCAGTGGAACATAAGAATAAACTGGTTAATTTCTATTTACTTTCATCCTAATATCCTTAAATATATTTTATTTAGTGGTAGAAGATGATGAAGATGACTTTCCTACAACACGTTCTGATGGAGACTTCTTGCATAATACCAATGGCAATAAGGAAAAGTGTAAGTAATATATTTTCCTCCCTCAACTGGATAAAATACACTTTCTAAAGTTACGTAATCACTAACTGTATAACAAGAATAATTATCTAAGTGATTAATTTTTGAAAAGCAGTGGAACTGGTGGGAATTGAAAGTTTCTTCTGGAAAAAGATGTAGATAAAATTCATATTCTTACATTAAATAGTAATGGCCATTAATTAACAAAGACTCATTCTAAATTTCAGGCAATAGCATACTTATTGCAGCAGTATTTGGTAGAATCAGTTTCTGGAACTGCTAACGTTTCTTGTAGGGAAAGCATTGTAATGCAACTTAAATGTTTCTTTAGAGTATGTTTCTGTCTTTAGTGTTTTCTCTTTCCACTTGATAAACTGCTGTTGGAAAATGTATGATCAGTGTTATTAAAGAAAAATAATTGAAATGACTGATTTCACAGCACAGTGTTTGTAGACCAAAAGCAAAGTAGTTTATTTTATATGCCAGTTTATTAATCGTTCCTTTACTTAGAATAGCTAATTTATTAGATGGAATTCTGAATTGTTCACTAGAAACTTCTGATTTGTGACAACGTGGATAAACCTAAAGGGCAGTAAGCTAAAGACATACCACATGGCATCACTCCTACATGGAATCTTAAAACACCAGAAACCTGTGATTAATAGTCAGTGTTCCTGTTTTGACATGTCCTAAAGAAAAAGCTAGATGGATTTCTAAATTTTTTAAGTTACAAATAAGCCTTTATGGAAAAAAAAAAAAAGTAAGTTAATCTAATTGTGCTTTTTTTCCCCCTGAAGTTATGAAAGACTGTGAAGCAATCTATGGCTGTGTCATATTTTCAAATAATTTTTTTAAAACTGTCATGCGTGAAAATAATTTTGTTTCAGAGATCATATGGGAATATTCCATCTGAATATTAATACTAAAATGTAATGGTTCTTTCCCTCACTTGTTCGTTCTTTATTTCTTTCATCATGGCTCTCTACTTTTTTCTTCTAACCTTACTTTCTCCTAATTTTGCAAAATACTAGCTTATTACAAAGTTTTTCTTATAACTTGGGACTGAAATGTTGAACTTTTTTGAGTCATCTAAATTTATATATTTTTATAGAATTAAAGGCTTATTTGGGGAAGTTTCTTTCAGTTACATTTTAATTTCACAATGAATAATCTGATTTAATAGAAAAATATTTTATTTGGATATTGGAAAAAATTATTGAAAGAAGTTGTAAAGCTCACAGGTCCAGTCTTTCATTCCACATACACTGAAATACCACACATACATTTCCCAAAGAAGAATCGAAGCTTATTTCCTATAGAAATTGAACTGGAGAGTTACAGATTCAGGAATACCCAGCACAGCAAAAGATAGCTATATCGGCCTATCAATAAAGTGATTAAATGGAAACTTATATACTAATTATTGAAATCTAAGAGTGTCACTATATATTCTACTTATCTCCAAGAATTCTGGTAACCAGGAACTAAATGAAAATTTACATTCTGAAAGACACAATCCTCAGCTCTCTTCTCTAAGAACACCTGTCAACAAGACATATTTTCTGATAAAAAGTTGAACTCTGGAGACACTGAATGGACTTAGAGAAAGACCTATAAAAATAGAGATTTTTCAAGGTTTCATCGTGAAAAAGTTATCTACCAGGTCACTCTTTGATGAATTCCACTAGTTTAAAAATCATGCTAGGGCATATAGAGTTTACAGTTCCTAACTCTTAAATGTGAACAGCTAGTCAGATCTCCAGATATTTAAGGAAAGCCCACAACATCTCTTTTTTGAAGAGAGATTTAAAACCAAGCAATAGAAGGCAGGGTTATTGCTGTCATTTAGATAAATATCCTATACAAAGTGCACAATTTTAAAAATCATGAGTCATGTTTTAAGTACACCTGTGGAAGTCACCGTTTAAAAGTGTTAATGGCGCCTGGCCACCATGGCTCAGTGGTTGAACGTTGACCCATGCACCAAAAGGTCACTAGTTCGATTCCCAGTCAGGGCACATGCCCAGCTTGTGGGTCTGATCCCCACTGGGGAGCATGCAGGAGGTGGCCAGTCTATGTTCTCTCTTATAAATGTTTCTGTCTCTCTCTCTCCCCCTTCCTTTCTCTCTAAAGTCAATAAAGAAAAAAATTAAAAAATAAAAGTGTTAATGGAAATTAATTTTTGTTAATCACCATAGGTGGAAAGTATCTTTCCATGGTTAACCTCTAGAAGTAAGTTAGAAGCATTGTATCTTTCCATGGTGCTGAGATCCAACAAGAATTGGCTACAGGATAATGGCATTTTCAAATAATTGTAATGATCCTCACCATTAAGGCCATCATTAAGGATTAGGTCTAAATCACTTATTGTAGTAGTGAGTATGCAAAGTTTTTTAACATGTAGAACTAGCTAGTAAAGAGTAAATATTACAAAAATAGGATTGAGGGTTGGCAGGTAGAGCAGGAGTAAAACTTTCAAAGATTCTAACCTGAGAAGAAAGGCAATTAAAGTAATTTTAATATTTAGACCAGAGGAAAAAATTTTAGATAAGAAAACACCTCTTTAGTTCCTTAGTTAAAAGCCTCAAGAATGCTAGGTCATTGAAGGACTGTTTCCTCAATTTTTTGTGAACAAAGTTCTTATTTACCTCTATGTAAACTTTCTTCTGTTAATTCTATATCATCTTAATTTATGTTTCTAGAGACAAAGAGGAGATTTCATGAGGATATATTGGTCAATCCATTTAAAAGATACAACAATAATACACGTAGTTGTATGTAACAATAGAGCCCCAAAATATGTAAAGCAAAAACTAATCAAATTGCCCTGACAGGTTTGGTTCCGTGGTTAGAGAGTCAGCCTTCAGACCAAAGGGTCAAGCGTTTGATTCTCTGTCTAGGGCACGTACCTGGGTTGCAGGTTCGATCCCTGACCCTGTTGAAGTCATGTCGGGGGCAGCCAGTCAATCTGTCTCTCCCCTCTCACCTCTCCTCCCCCCCCCCCCCTTCCACTCAACCTAAAAATCAATGGAAAAAGATCCTCAGGTAAGAATTACAAAAAAAAAATTAAAAAGCTAACCAAATTGAAGAGATAAAGACAATTCAATAGTGATAGTTTGAGACTTCAATACCCAACTTTCAATAATAGACAGAACAAATAGGAAGATAACAAGGAAATAAAATACTTGAATAGTGTAAACAAACAGACTTAGTGGACATCTACAGAACACTCTACCCAACAATAGGAGAATATGTATTCTTCTCAGTTGCACATGGAACCTTTAGGATAGACTTTATATGTGGTCATAAGGTTTAATTAATTTAAAATGATTATAATCATACAAAGTATGTCCTCCAACCTCAGTGGACTGAAATTAGAAATCAATAACAGAAAGTTGGGAAATTCACAAATATGTGGAAATTAACACACACATAAATAACCAGCGGGTCAAAGAAGAAATCACAAAAGAAAAGAGAGCCCTGGCCGGATTGGCTCAGCAGTTAGAGCGTCGTGCTGCAGTCCAGAGAGACCCGGGTTCGGTTCCCGCTAAGGGCATGTACCTCGGTTGCAGTTTGTCCCCGGCCCTGGTTGGTTATGTGGGTGGCAACCACTGGATGTGTCCCTTTTACATTGATATTTCTCTTCCTCTCTCTCCCTCCCACTCTATCTGAACAAAAAATGGAAAAATGTTCTCGGGTGAGGCTAAAAAAAAAAAAATAGAAAATACTGTGAAGTGAAAGAAAGCAAAAATATACCACAACAAAATTAATTTGCAGCTAAAGCAATACTTAGAGGGAAATTTGTAGCTGGAAAACGTGTATTATAAAATAAGGAAGAGAATAAAAAAAAACAATATAGACATAGAACTCAACAAAAGGAAGACAATCCAATTTAAAAATGAAGAGAGGACCTAAATAGACACTTCTCCAAACAGGACATAAAAATGGCCAGGACATTTGAAAAAATGCTCAACATCTCTCATCATCAGAGAGATGCGAATTAAAACAACTATAAGATACCACCTCACACCTGCCAGAATGGCGGCTATCAACAAATCATCAAACAAGTGCTGGCAAAGATGTGGAGAAAAGGGGACTCTTGCACATTTCTGGTGGGAATGCAGACTGGTGAAGCCACTATGGAAAACAATATGGTGTTTCCTCAAAAAATTAAAAATAGAACTATCCAGTGATCCCACTTCTTGGAATACATCCTAAGAAGCTTGAAATACCAATCAGGAAGAATATATGTACCCCTATGTTCATAGCAGTGCTATTTACAATAGCTTAAGATCTGAAAATAGCCCAAGTGCCCATCAGTAGATGAGTGGATAAAAAAAGCTGTGGTACATTTGTACAGTGGAATATTATGCAGCTGTAAGAAAGAAAGATCTCTTACCCTTTGAGACAATGTGGAGGGACCTGGAGAGTGTAATGCTGAGTGAAATAAGCCAGGCAGAGAAATACAAGTACCACATGATCACACTAATTTATGGAACATTGTGAACAAAATAAGCTGTTGACCAAAATAGATCCAGAGTCATGAAAGTAGGGAATGGATTAACAAACCTCAGAGGAGTAGGGAGTGGGAGGGGTGGGAAGAGATAAACCCAAAGAACTTATATGCATATATGCATAACCAGTAGACAGACATTAGGTTGTGGAAAGCAGGAGGGGTGTGGGATTGGGGAGGAGGGGGGTAAATGGGGGAAAAAGGGGGACATCTGTAATACTTTCAACAATAGAAAGCAAATAAATAAAAATTGTAAAAAATACAGAAATTCGATGAAATTATAAGTTTGTCTTTGTTTGTTTTTTTATCCTCACCCGAGGACATTTTTCTATTTTTTGTTCAGATAGAATGGGAAGGAGAGAGAGGAAGAGAGAGAGAGAGAAACATCGACGTGAAAGGGACACATCGAATGGCTGCCACCCACATGACCAACCAGGGCCGGGGACAAGCTGCAACCGAGTACGCGCCCTTAGCAGGAACCGAACCCGGG